TGGGGGGGAGGGGTTCTGGCACATTCTAGGAAAGAAGAGAGGGGTAAGATTGCAGTAGCCTGTGAGATGATTAGGAGAGCTAGGTTAAAGAACGCCTCCCCCACTCTCCTAGCCCGGCCCTAAGCATAGGTGAGTTCTCCACAGCCTTCATCCGCAGTCAGCCTCAGACCAAAAAGAGGAGACTTGGAAAAGCGTAGTCATGCCTGCTGTCCCCTGGAATGTCGAAGTTTCCTTCAGGAACACTCAGGATTCCATGCCTCTCTTGATGGAGAGGGTTTCAAGTGCCACTAGCAGCACTGAAAACTTCTTGATGAAGAAAGGAAGCTCATTCCTAGTCATTCTTCCTGGTTTTAATGCAACCTATGTGCTAATCTGCATGCCCTTTTTCTATTATGTTTGTTTTAGAAAAAAATCTAGAGATGAAATGCGAAAATTGATCAGAATGTGGTTTAACCTGTACTCAAACTTCATTAAGAAATGGTTAACAATTTTAGTAAAAATGGAAAGAAACCAGAATCCTTTTATCTATGTCATCACATGGTATTGTTTGGATTTCTTCTTACACATTTCACAAGTAACCCTGGACATCTGCATGGGCATCATTACAGGGACATTTTTGAAAATGTATATTTGAAAGGTGTCTCATGTAAAGGAATATGTTTTATAATTTAGAACAAACTATTAAAATCAGAACTATTCAGTGTGTCCCTGGCTTGCTCCCCTTTTGAAAGTCACATAATTCCTGGGATGGCAGCCCACTGAGCCCTGAGCGGTCCTGCTCATTTTCGTTAAGAGCACCAGGTTGCGTATCACAGAGAAAAAGCCAGTCTCGTGACAGTCTATAAGGATCTGTGTGGTATATTTGATTTTTGTTCAGAAAGATTCCCTCTCTCACCTTCTGCCATGAGCAAAGTGACCTTGCCACTTCTCATCCCTGGGCATGGCCATGGGACTCCTCAGTGGATGTCAGCAGATGTAAAAGGGCTTGAAGTGTTTTATTCAAATGAACTTGCCCTCCTACATCTCCACACTGTCATGAGAAAAGCACACCAAGGTTAGCCTACCGGTCCCAGGAGAAGGAAGAGCTCAGCCAACCCCAACCCAAATTGCAGATGGAAATGACAAGCCCTGCCAAGATTTGCAGAGTTGTCCAGGCAGGCCCAGGGGAGACCTGACTCACCAGCATGGGTTAAAGAAGCGTTTACTATTGTGTGCTTGTGAGATTGTGTGATTGTTACTCAGCAGAAGCTAAATGACAAAGCCTATGAACTAGGGCCCTTCTTAACCATCTGATCTTCTATTGGTAGACTCCTCAGTCATTGCCGGCCACATTGGCCTTTTTGCTCTTTCTGATTACCCCAGGCAAGCAGCTCTTCCTCAGTAGAACTACATTTATCTACTCCTTCAGCTCAGGACATCCAAGGGTTACGCCCTCTATTTAAAATAACAACTTCTCCTCCTCCCCCCCCCTTCCTCTTCCCCCTTCTCCCCTCCTCCTCCTCTCCTCCACTTTTTTTTTTGACAGGGTCTTGCTCTATTGCCCAGGCTGAAGTACAGTGCCACAATCCTAGCTCACTGCAGCCTCAACCTCCTGGGCTTAAGCAATCCTCCAGCCTCAGCTTCCTACGTAGCTGGGACCACAAGTATGAAGCACTACACCTGCATCATGTCCTTATTCTTTCAATATGGTCTCAGTGGCATACAATTCTAATTCCAAGGTGAAAATTATTTTCTCTTAGCACATTGAAGATACGATACACTGTGTCTTGGCTTTCAGTGTTATTATTGTGATACAGCAAATTGCTCTTCCTATGAAGCTTATGTGTTTTCTCTCTGATTGCTTTTAAGTATTCTCTTTACTATGCAGTTCAGTGATACACTATAATACATAGTTGTGTATGTCTTCCTATTTAACCTTCTTGGGATATGTTAAGCTTCCTGAAAGGAAAAAAGAGTCCTCAACAATTCTGAAAAATTCTTGATCATTTAAAAAAATATTGCCTCTTTTGTATTCTATTATAAATTTGTGAGAACTTCTCATTCTATCCTCACGTCTGTTAACTTGTTTTTACACGTATTGATCTCCATGTCTCTCTGGGATATATTTGAGATTCCTATGGATTTATCTTCCACTTCAGTGCGCTGTTTGCCTTGTCA